GACCTGAGTAATTGTAGAGAAGAGAAAATGAGTATTTTCCAAAACAAGATCCATATTCTCCATTGCATAACAAAGGAAAATTAGTATTTAGAAAACCACATGTAGGGTTCACAAACTTCTCTCTGGCTTCTTTCTTAACCAGGTGAGATGGCTGGAGAAAGAAGCGGTTGGAGTTTTTTAGAGGATCGCTTAGCCCATACTCAGTTTCCTGCAGATTCAAGGCATCCATCTGCACAGACTTTGGGTATAGACCTGGGAAGGCACTAGCAGGCTGGCCTTGAGTGCCTGGCTGGAGGCAGCACACCTGCAGGGAGGATAAATCCTATGAGGGCAGAGCTGGCTTAAGAGGGTACTCTGACCACGTGGAGTTACTGTTCTGCTGTACAGGGGAAAGTGTGTTCTTGCAGTAAAGGTCACTAAATCAGGCATCATTGAGTAGGGAAAGTTCGTAACTTCCTGAAGTCACCGTTTCATTCATAGCCCTATGAAAATAGGAAGGGTAGATTGAAACCTCGTAAGAAGGGGGCCAATGTCAGTCTCATATCTTTGTACACAAACATCCCACAGTGCAGTGGGAGCTGCACTGTGCCATTATGTCTGCAGGTGGGGCACAAATCCTGTATGTCATATGAGCTGCCTGTGGGCCTTCTTGGGGTGGCTCAGAGCCCGCCCTGATAGGTCAAGCTGGGTGTCTCCTTTTTCTACTGGAAAGACATTGATGTGACAGTGGCATTGATTGCTCATAGGTCAGTCCCCATCCCCTTGACCTGGGTTCCTTGGTCATGAGGAGGTGTGTATCCCTTATGGCCCCATCCCATGCAAGGGGTCCAAGGCCACACCCTCAATTCAGCTGGACTTAGGAGTGTCCTGTTGTTCTGAGTGGCAGGTTTTCCTTTGATAATTGGACAGTACAAGATTAGGACAAGATTAGGACAAATTCTGCCTTCTTGCCCTCTATTTATAGGACAAGATTAGGACAAATTCTGCCTTCTTGCCCTCTATTTATAGCTGTTGTTTTTCCTTCTACTTGGAGATCTTCTTGTCTCTTGGGATCCTCATCTTCTCTCTCCTTTTCCGTTAAGCTTTGTTCTATCTGGTACCTCAGAGGGGAATAAAGCAGCCGAGCAAGTAGATCTCCTGTGATACTCAGACACTTGCTCAGATTAGTACAAGGGAGAAAGTAGCAGAGACAGATGGAGAAGAACAGCTGGTTAATATTTGTAGCCATTATAGGGTCACGGCATTATCCCTCACCCCCTGCAGGCACCCAGAAAACTGGTTCTGAAGTTTACTGTACTCTTGTGCAGTGAAATCCTGTGTTGTTTATTTCTATTGCGTGAACCCCTGCGTTAGCTCTGCAGACACTGTCCAAATACTCACTGGGGGCCAGATTCTATGTATCCGTCCTCAGTACATATTTGCATTTATTTTTTCCTCTGTTCAAGTTGGAACGGGATTTAGAAGTCATCTAACCTGTGGTTCTTTCTGCATATGCAGACGTAAGACCCCAGCAGGCAGAGAGATGAGGTCAGGCCTCCCTCAGAGTCGATGTGGAGTGCGGCCTCCCACGTGGCCCGAGCTCTTCTCAGAGGCCTCTGGGGTTTTCGGGTTCTCCTGACCAGAGTCTGGGCCTGCAGTGTGTGCCACATGCTAGTGTGCTGCAAAGTGCTTCCCATGCCTGCCTTGTTCTGTCATAGAAAAGCTCTCCCAGCAGGGGCCACGGTAAAGGTTATTTCTGCCTCTTTTTACAGATAAAAATTCAAGGGCTGGGATAGCCAGGATGCCTGCCCAGAGTCAGACATGGTACATAGCAGAGGCATCACCCGCTCTGCTTCCATGGGACCCGGAGAGCCGTGTACTCTTTCACTTTGTAGAAAAGAGCCCTTAAGGGTTACTAGTACCATACATTAAAAAAAAGGCTGCTGGTAGCATACATTTTTTAAAAAATGAAAGATAAATAGCTACTCCCTTTGACTTATTGTTCTTTTGAAAATAATTATTGCAAAATATATACAATGTAAAATTTGCCATTTTAGCTACTTTTAAGTTCATGCCTTTAGGCACAATCACACTGCTGTGCAACCATCTCCACCGTCTCAAGATTGAAACTCTGTACCCATGAAACAGTAACTCTCGACCCTCCCACTACCACCAGCCTTTGAGAATTCCCATTCTACGTTCTGTCTTTAAGAATTTTACCACTTTAAATATCTTACTTAAGTGAAATTATAGTTTATCCTTTTGTGACTGGCTTAAGGCATGTAGCATAACGGTCTCCTTGTCATAGCAAATTCAGAATTTCTTTCCATTTTTAATGCTGAGTAATATTCCCTGTGTTTGTATAACACAATTTGTTTATCTACTCATCTGTATGGATGCTGGGTTGCTTCCACTTTGTATTAGTTAGCAAAGGCCACCATAACATAATACCACACACTAGGTGGCTCAGACAGTAGTGTATTTTCTCACAGGTCTGAAAGCTGGAGTCTAAGATCACAATGCCCCTGGTGTTAGTTTCTCCTGGGGCATCTCTCTTAGGAGATGGGTGCTGGCAGTGTCAGTCTCTCTGGTACTTGCTAACAGTTGTGTTCTGGTAGGGTCCTCCCAGGCCTTCTATCTGTGTGGGCATTCCTGAGGTCTTCTTCTTCTGGAAGGACAGCAGTCATACTGTAGTAGGTCCCCACGACTGTGGCCTTATGTAACTGTACTCACCGTGTTAAAGTTCCTGTCTCCAAATGCCTCCTCACTGGAGGGTAGAGCTAGGACACATGAATGGTACAATGACAGAATTCAGTCCATGATGCACCTCCTGGCTGTTGAAATGCTATGCATGTCAGTGCACAAATGATGGTCCATGTCCCCACTTTTAATTCTTTTGGGTACATATTCAGCAATGGAATTCGTGGATTATGTGATAATTCTACTTTTAATATTTTCAGGGCCTGCTGTGTGATCCTTCCATAGTGGCTTCAGTGTATCACATTCCCATGGCATGTTTCTGAGTCCTCAGGGTGGTTTTGTTGTTTTTCAGAGGTCTACATTTTGAGGCCCTGCAGGGAGAAGCTGGCCTTAAATTGTTCTTTTTACCTGCCAGGTGGTTATTAACTCTTTACTAACCCACAAATCCATCCAGAAACATGCTGCCCTTGCTCCTGCCGCACCTCCTGTCAGTAACCTCTAACTCTTGCTCCCACACTCAGCTGCTGGGAAAACATCCCAGAAAGGAGGATGCCATTGGAATGTCCCAGTCTATGGCAAGTACTTTATTGAGCTGTGCCTCTCAGGCAGCAGTCTCTGAGGCCTGACAAGGTTTGTGTCAGATGCTGCCCATATCCAGGCGCAGCAGAGGGGGGCGGGTCCTGAGTTGGCTAAGACGCTGCTGCTTTCAGAAAGGCTGAGCCACAACAGATTCAAAACATCACTCAGCGAGCAGTTATAAGTTCACACATTACATCCACAGAATGGATAAGTGAGTGTGTGTGTGTGTGTGTGTGTGTGTGTATTGTGTGGGAGGAGGGAGTTGGCTCTAAGGAGTTGTTATAGGAGTCGTTTAAATGAGATAAGGTGTGAGGTTATGTATGGGGTAGAGGTGTTGGGTGGGAAGGTACTAAGCATGTAGGAGGTATAGGCGGGAATGCAGGGCACTCAAGAACAGGTGTATGTGTGGAACAGGATGAAGAGTGTGGCGGCTGGCATGAGTGGTGTGTGTGTGGTGTCTGTGTGTAATAGGATGTGAGAATATGTGGAAGTTGAATATGAGAACATTTATGGGGTAGGGTATGAGGGGTAGGGAAGAGGGTAGAGTTTGGGCAAGAGGGTGTTTTGGGGTTAGGGTATATATGGAGTAGGACGTAAGGGTGTAGGAGTTTGGACATGAGTGTGTGTGTGTGTGTGTGTTCAGTGGGGCACAAAGGTGGAGAAAATGAAGTGTCTGTGCAGCTGGGGCAGCGCTGTGGAGTCGGGTGCCCGGTGTGGGGAGTTGGTCACGGAGAGGGACAGGATGTGTGGTAAAGGAAGACAGTAGGAGAAGGACCAGTTGTTCTGCTCCCCTTGCCCACGCTTGCCAGAGCTGGAGCCGAGCGGATGGAAGAGCTTCTGAGACCCACACGGCTTTTCCATTGTGAGGTGGCATTGCCCAGCCCTGGCCTCAGGGGTGACTCATTCTCACCTGGCCGGGGAAGTCAATTTGCTGAGCATCTGCATCATGGCAGATGCTGTGCGTCAGTCAGTACGACTTGTTCTTACTGAGAACATGGGGGAAATTTAAAGTGAGTAATGAAAGAAGTGGGCAGGAGGTTGTGTTGGGGGCTGTGAAAGACAAAGTGCTTCTCCCTCCGTGGCTAAGGGAGCGGGGTTGCTTCCCCGGATCTCGATACAAGGCAGCCACAGCCATCCCATCTGAGGAAAGTAACTTTAGAAGACAGGCACAGGCAGCATGGCTATGGAGCCCACAAGCCCCTCCCAGATGCCAGGCGGCCTCTGCAGCAGTAACTCTTTGTGCACTGCGGTTTGCTGCAGTCTTTGCATTGGAGGGACGGTGGCTTTTATGAATGGTAGCCTGGGAGGGGCCTAATGTCATCGGCTCCTGATGTCAGCACAATAAATGAAGCACTTGCAAAGCGTAAAGCCTCAGCACTTGGAAAGCAGACACCTTTCTAGATTGGTTCTCCAGATGCAGCGTCTCTTGCTGATGAAATCACCAGTCCCATGTGTCACAGATAATCCATACACGTTGGGATTTAAATGAGGCAGAAACTGAGGCTGCATGTGGAATAATCTGCTTCTGATTCAGGCACAACCAGCTTCTTTCCAGAGGCAGCTGCAGCCACGACCCTCTTCCTTTCTGGCGCTGGGGAAAAGTGCCGGTGGGAGCTGCCGACCACTGTTCTGTGCTAGGCATCTACTTAGCTGGCCTGATGTTTTGCTTTTGCTGGCAGAATTCCTTGCTGAAGCTTCAAGCCCTTGAATCTGACTTGTGCTCTGCATTCTTGACAAACCAGGAAGAAGCTGTCCATGTGCGTGAAGTCAAGGACCCAGCCGCAGTGTCGAGCCAGAGTGTGCCAGCTGATGGAGCAGATTCTGCAGGTGAGAGGCAGGCTCTGGGGAGGCCCATGCTGTACACTCCGGATAGTTCAGCCTCTGGCTGTTTCATCGTCTGCCTGCACCCTTGAGGGAGGAAAATGGTGCAGTGTGAAAGCCCAAGTGTTGCTCAGGGGGATGGGGAGGGAGTAGAAGGAATCAGGATTTGCTGTAACAGGTCTCTCTGGCTGGGGCCAAGAGTAAGACTTCTATAAATGAGTGTCAGGTGAGAGCACCAGCCACAACTTCTTGTCTTCAGTATTCCTATTCATTCTCCTGCAAGAAAGGAGTGCTGTGTTATTCTGTACCCTTGGATCTGCATACTCTGTGCTGTCCTGAAACTCATGATATTTCGGAGGTATTGAGGGATGAGGGAGTTTCAGCAGTGCTACTCTGTCTGCTGTTACTGCCTGTAAATTGGTCCCCCAATTCTGGCAAAGGAGAGGTGAGTGTTCCCCCACTGCCTCCCTCTGATCCTGTATCTTTATTCTGTCTCAATATACTTTTACACTGATGTCCATGTCAAAAAGTAAAATGCGAGTGTGTTTTCTGTTAGTCTTTCTAGTGGTAATCCTGGGGATGGTAGACTGACTAACAGAAGGCAAATTAACGCTCCCAGGAAGACTTAGAAAGGAAAGAAACACTAATTTACATGAGTAGAAAGGAGAGTGAAGCTTGTGTTTCTTAATACCAGTCGATCAGAGGCTGGCAGACTGCTTTCTGGATAGAGAGTAGAAACTGGCTTAGGTGAGCTGTTTCACAAGTGCTCCTTATCTCTAGGAGCTGGAGAAAGAGATTTAAGAGGTGATTTGTTGCAGTACCATTAGCAACAATGCACTTAAGACACTGGTGTTAAAACAAGTGGTCTAAGCTGATGAGACAGTCATCTCCAGTGTTGGAATGTATACTTTTAATAATAGTGGCTAACAGGAGCTACTAAGAGCAGGTTATACTCTTATGACTTAAAACTTTCAATGCTCCAGGCCTTTTAGGCCCTTTATATGTATTATGCTAAATCCTTAAAGTGACCTCTGAAGTACTCCTACTCTCCGGAAAGACTCTGAGGCCTAGGTAGCATTGCTGGTAAGTGGTAACATATTTCCATACGGGCGTACATTGTTGGCCGGTTGGCAGTGCCTGTTGCCTGGAGAGCTCTCCTGCTCTGGTAGCCAGTATGTTTGGAGGAGATGCAAGGAAAACTGGGCAGAAGCTCAGTTAAGGATGTGAGGGATTAGGGATTTATGTTAGATTATTAGCAGCCTTTTTCTCCCCCACAGCTCTGTACCCCACCACTTCCAAACAAACAGCATACAAAGCACATAAAGAAGTCTCAGGCCAAATAGAAATTAACCCTTGAGTTATCTGAGGTTTTTGGTTAGCTGTATAAGGATCCAGCAAACAGTGTTCAATATTTGTTGCATGTTGGGTATAGATTTATTTTCTCTTTTTAAAAATAATAAAATCATGACTTTTACTTCCAGATGTCAAGAATAGCTTTGCATTTTCTCATTCTGGATGAATAGAAGTTTGAACAAACTTATTAACATTCCTTGTGAAATAGAAATAAATATTGGGTTTATGTAGGGGTTGCTCATGCAAAGAAGCTAGAAATACATTCCATGTTAAGCAACAAATTACAGAAGTTGGCAGAAGGCTTATTACAGAGGAGGTTTGTGGATTGGGTGCTGAATTTCTGAAACTGTGGATAAATATGAGGTATCCCAGAGTTCTTGTAGGAGAATCTAGAATATAAGACTCTAGAAGGCTCTAGAATACTAGATATGTTCAGTGACATTCTCTTTGTTTGGCAAGGAACATATATTATCAGAGTGACAGGCATTTGTAAAATGCCTTCATGATTTAAATTATGGGATGGTTTGGTCTCACTGGCTTCTAAGAGGTACTCTCATAGGACTGCTGTACATTTTCTAATCCATGTGTCACTCAGGAGGAAGAAATTTAAGCTTAAATCAGCAGTTCTTCACTTGGGGCTTCTAAATGGACTTCCCAAGTGATCTTTGAGTATTTTGGCACTGTAGGATTTTTTGTGGGTGAGTAAGTCCCTGATGACATGATGATTGCAAAAGATTAGCATAGATGGCCTTAAGCACATAGAAGATTACAGTAATTTGAAAAGTTTTGTCTCTCTTAAGGTCTAGTATTTAGCACCGAGTCTTCCATATATATAATCAGTTGTTAGTTGTTGAGGCCATAACAAAGACCAAAGTTCGCAAAGTGATTTTTAGAATAGTATCTGGGTATAGTCTACTTCCAACTAACTGTTGATAGCAAACATTCATAAATACAAATTGATGCCATTTCCATAGGTTTGAAACTCACTTTAGACTTAATTAAGGCATGACTTATGTATAGTTAATTAACTTTTGCAATGGACATCTGAAAGAATGGTCTAAGCAAAGTTTAGCAGGCTGAATGTTTTAAGATCAAAATATTGGCCCCTTAACTTGAGGTTATGAATTGCAAAGATCTTTCTCACAACTAGTATGACATATTAAACACTTCTTATATTAGAAATCCAATTATGAACTGCACCTGAAGCAAGAACATTTTTTTATGGCAGCCCTATATGCACACTGTCTTCTTAGTGGTGTTCTAGAACTTTCTTCATGTCATAATCACCAGGAAGCTTTTCCAACATGGAGATTCTCAGGCTTATCTTTGGATGGTCTGAGGTGGAAGTCCTGGAATCTGCATATTGCATAAACAATCTCAAATATTGGGGTGTCCTTGTCAAGTGGAGAGTGTCTTAAATTAGTCAAACTTTCTGTTACTCTGCTTTATCTCAGTTTCATCAATGAGAAGCTCACAGAATGCATGGGTCTTAAAACTCAGGGTCTGGGGCCAGTTGGCTCTACCCGCTTACTTCAGGAGGAAAAATGTGCTTATGCATCACATCCATAGCCTGAAACTGTTGGGATGGAGACATGGATGGGGAATGGAGACCAAGAAAGGCTTGGTGGATATTGGCCATTAGGAAAACTAATGGAGAGAGAGCCAAATGAAAGGGTAGCTTGTGGGCTTTACCAAGGTTGACAAGGTGACCTGGTGGGCCCAGAACTGTCACATTTTTAGTACGTAGAGTACAACTTGATGACAAATTCTCAGAGCCAGCTAATGAGGACAGTTGTTTACTGGATTTCTAGGTTGTAAACCGCGTAATACGAAATAGAAACTTATAAACTGAATCTTTGTATTCCCCCCAAAATTCATAGGTTGAAATCTGACTCCCAGTGTGGTACTACTTAGAGGTGGATCCTTGGGAAGATAATTAGGTCATGAGGATGGAAGCCTTGTGAGAGGGATTAGCGTGCACTGGAGATCTGTTACTAGAAATAGTGGTTCTGAAGCAACACTTAAATTATTTTACACTGGATTTTTCAGATTGAACTTTCCATTTGGGCAAGGCTGTGTATTCAGAGTCAGTTTCCCCCTCACTGGGACAAAATACTCCATACCCATGACTTAAAGAAAAGGTTTATTTTTGCTTTCAGTTTCAGCAGATTCGTGAATCCATGGCCGGCTGACTCCAAGGCATAAGACACATGGCGGGATGGCATAGGGAGGATCTGTTTACAGCACAGTGGTCAGGAAGCAAGGAGGGAGGAGGGAGGGACAGGAAACTCTTCAAGTCACACCCCCTGTGACCTACCTGCCCCTTCTTATTAGGCCCCACCTTTGAACATGAGACTGTTGGGGTACATTTTATATATAAGTGATAGCAAGCACTGGTGCAATATATAGTCTATAATTATTCTCATAAAGAAGTCTGCATCATCTGTGTTTGCTCCTAATGTTGAATTTGAGGTGAGACAAAGCTGTAGAGAATTTTACCGTGTCTCACATATTTGACCAGGAGTGTCCAGCTGGAGAACTTACTAACTTTATATATGTCTGTTTCCTACCTTAAAATGTAAAATTAAGATTTAGAGATGAGGCCTGGGGATCTCTGTTGGAAAAACACCCATGGTGATACTGTTGGGCAAGGAGATTCAGGAACATTTTCCAGAACACATTGCCACACCAGGGCTGCTGTGAAACATGTGCCTGCTACAGGACTCATTTATAATTGGATTTCTAGAACAGGAAAGCATATCAGGTTTCCTATTAGGTGGTCTGATCATACACGTAGTTTGATTCTTCATTTGATCTGGGGGCAGCCCCAGAAAGTCACAGTCAAAGTCACAAATGGACAGAATTTCCATATTTCTTTTAGAAACTTTATTCCTACAGGGCTGAGTATGTGTATGGGTTTATATGTGATTTCCAACCCTCCTTGAAATTTTTTATATTTTCAGTTTGTACCATCTGTTGCTTTAACTAAAATATGGCTACTAACACAGAAAGTAGTACTTCATTTATTTGTCCTAAGTTGGTTCCTTTAAAATAGTGATTTTCAATTGAGGGGTTTTTTTTTCTCCTTGGGAGCTATCTAGAGACCTATTTGGTTGTCACAGTTGTGAAATGTGCAGTGGAAACTGCTGGTATCTAGTGGGTGCAGGCCAGTGATTTTGTTACACCTCTCTGCCCCGACTAAAGAACAAGCCAATCCCAAATGTCACTAATGCCCAGGAGTTGCAACCCCTTCTTAGTATTTGTGAAATGAATGACATCAACATTAGCTAAAAGTGACCTCTTCATTTGCATCAGGAAGTATTGCATGGATTCTCTCACTTACTTCACAAGAGCACCAGGAGGTGAGCGCATTATTATCCCCAAGTTAAAGAGGAGGCACCTTGCTGAAGGTGCTGCAGCTACTGAGCAGGGTGTCTCAGGAGAGGAGAGGGCAGAGCGGTGGTTGCACAGTCTAAATTCTTCACCGTGTGGCCTGAAAATTGTCACCATTGTTTAAATATTCTACAATTCTACAGTTTGAAATTAACAGCCAATTTCTAATATGTCTTGAAAGTCACTGTTTTTTTCTTCATTCCTGAAAGCACATACTAAATAAAAACATTTAAAAATAAAAAAGACAGAGAAAATCACTT